TTTGCGCATGCATTGTAATGTATTTTTTATTTTTTGGCTTTTTAAGTCTCTTCTGCTGTTTTTTTTTTCAGTGTATTTATGAGTGATGGTCACATGTTGGCCTGATATAAGTATTTTGTCCAAATGTGGTGTCTATTTGCCCAGTGGTTTTTGATTTATGTTAATCATAAATACACTGACAGTATTTTATTTAGGTTCTTGTGGGTTTTTTTGGGCTATAGAGCCATGTTCTAGAGGCATTCTCTCCTGACTTTTCGCCTGCATCTATTGCAGGCATCCTCAGAGGTAGTGAGGTCTGTTGGAATTAGGACAATGGGTTTATATATCTGTGGAATGGCTGGGGTGGGGCAAGGAGCTCTTCTCTGCTAGAGCTACGTGTGAATGTTTCAACTAACCACCTTCATTAGTATTTGAAGGCCTGCCTGAGCCTGGGAAAATCTGTTGCTGGGAGGTGTTAATCTGTGCCTGGTTTTTTCTTCTCTGTTGTTTAGCTGTTATAATTTTAGAGTTTTTTAATACTGGTAGCCAGATTTTGTTCATTTTCATGGTCTCTTCCTTTGAACAAATGAACAAAATCTGGCTAAAATTATAACAGCTAAACAAAAAACCAGGCACCCATTGTCCTAATTCCAACAGACCTCACTACCTCTGAGGATGCCTGCCATAGATGCAGGCGAAACGTCAGGAGAAATGCCTCTAGAACATGGCTCTATAGCCCGAAAAAACCCACAAGAACCTAGTGATTCCAGCCATGAAAGCCTTCGACAATACATATTTTATTTATTTTTATAATAATAATAAAAAAAACTTTATTTATACCCCGTTCCATCTCCCCCAGGGAAATTTCAATTTGGTGTCAATTTGGTGTCAACTTGGCCACAAACAAACATTACATTTTTATTTATATAGACTAGCGGTCCCCTGCCACGCGTTGCTGTGACCCAGTCTGGTGATCTGGAAAATAAAGTAATTAGAAAGTGTTGGTTTCTAATATATGTAATTTCTTTATGCTTGTGGGTAAATAGTATTTCTTGCTGTTTCTTTGTCAGTGTCAATGTGGAGATTGTCTGATTTGCCTACTATGGAAGATGCAACATATAATTGTCCTTCTTTAGGAGTCCCTTTCAAATCTATGATACTATATTTCTGTGTGTGTGAATCATATGTATTTATATCTATGGCTCTTTGTCAGGAGGGCTTTAATTACGTTTTCTTGCCCTGGTGAAGGGAGTTGGACTGGATGGCCTTAAGTATGAGGGTTTTGTGTGGGAAGTTTGCCCCAATTCTGTCGTTGGTGGAGTTCAGCATGCTCTTAGATTGTAGGTGAACAATAAATCCCAGTAACTACAACTCCCAAATGTCAAGGTCTATTTTCCCCAAACTCCATCTATGTTCATATTTGGGCATATGGAATATTCATGCCAAGTTTGGTCCAGATCCATCATTGTTTGAGTCTACAGTACTCTCTGGATGTAGGTGAACTACAGCTTCCAAACTCAAGGTCAATACCACCAAGCCCTTCCAGTGTTTTCTGTTGGTCATGGGAGTCCTGTGTACCACATTTGGTTCAATTCCATCATTGGTGGAGTTTGGAATGCTCTTTGATTGTAGGTGTACTATACATTAAAGCAACTACAACTCCCAAATCACAAAATCATTTTTTAGTGATGGTCACTCCTTGGATTAGTAGGTGTCTTGTGGCCAAATTTAGTGGCAATTCGTCCAGTGGTTTTCAAGTTCTGTTAATCCCACAAATGAACATTACATTTTTATTTATATAGATGAGACTTTCAAGGTCTAAACAGCACTTTGCATTGTTTTTGAAAGAGGCAGTTCCAGCAGAAGGAAGCAAAGAAGGAATAGACGGTGAACAGATTCTAAGTGCGGAATTTCCTTCCCAACCTATCTATAGTAAATGCTTTTTTTTCCTTCCAGATATTTGAATAGTGATCTCCATTTGTGTTCCAGGGTTACTGAAATTATGCAGGTGGCAAACACAGTGATGTATTTCTTTTTCTGATAGGCTGCAACAAATTGCTATGGTATGCAAAACAAAAAGGAGGAAATTAATGAGGTGGCTGAAGGATGATTGATTGTGAGAGAATCAACCTCGAAAGGACACAAAGTCCTCTGTTGAAATTGTTACTCCGTTCCTCCTGGTCGTACTTACAATCCTCCAGGCACTCCAACAGAGCTTTTATTGTGCAACTAGCCATCCCCAGCCACGCATTGCTGTGGCACAATCTGGTCATCTGGAAAATAAAGTAATGAGAAAGTGTTCTCATTGTGAGCACCGTTACTTTCCCGCTGGAGCAGTACCTATTAATTACCCACATTTGCATGTTTTCGAACTGCTAGGTTGGCGATCATAAGTAGTGGTTTTAAATTAACCTTTCCCCCAATCCTCTGCAGTGGCGATCTGGGGAAATTGGCATTTTGGCTCCTCTCACACACTGTGTCATTATTTTATTTACATACAGGCAATAAAAGCGGGCACCAACAGATAACATCACACTGGGATAATGGCCATTTGGCCCATCTCTATGTGTGAGATTTAAAAATAAGTCACTTGCTAATCGGTTTGAAATCATTGGAAAAACCAACACTTTCGAAACAGCAAAATATCTCACCCCTATGGCTGAAGCTTGTGTTGTGTGAAGGACACAGCAGGTTGCCACTTCTTAATGGAAATTATTATTATTATCATTATTATTATTATTATTATTATTATTATTATTATTATTATTTCTTGGATATATCCCATGATCTGTGACAAGAAATAAATGCTTAAGAAAAACCAGAACTCACCTTGAAGAAGCTGAAAAGGCTACTTTTTTTAGTTTTCTGCAGAAGCCAATAATTTGAAATCTCACTCTTTCCCCAGTAACTCAAAAGTATGGGATGAACATCTGCAACATGGAATTTCTTCTAAAGGGAAGCAATAACTGGGAAATTGTTCCAGAAATTAAAAAATAATAATTTATTTTTTAAATATTTATTTATTTATTTATCGTGTCATCAGCAACCATACCATTGTATTACATTTCTAACAGAACAAAACAAACACACAGATTTAAAAAAAACACCACAGATTTTGCAAATTTGGTAGTTGGTTAAATGTCCTTTGACCAGTATCTGGCCACTTGGAGTGCCTCTGGTGTTGCCGCAAGAAGGTCCTCCATTGTGCATGTGGCAGGACTCAGGTTGCATTGCAGCAGGTGGTCGGTGGTTTGTTCTTCACACTCGCATGCCGTGGATTCCACCCTGTAGCCCCATTTCTTAAGATTGGCTCTGCATCTCGTGGTGCCAGAGCGCAGTCTGTTCAGCGCCTTCCAAGTCGCCCAGTCTTCTGTGTGCCCAGGGGGGAGTCTCTCATCTGGTATCACCCATGGATTGAGGTGCTGGGTTTGGGCCTGCCACTTTTGGACTCTCGCTTGCTGAGGTGTTCCAGCGAGTGTCTCTGTAGATCTAAGAAAACTATGTCTTGATTTAAGTCGTTGACGTGCTGGCTGATACCCAAACAGGGGATGAGCTGGAGATGTCTCTGCCTTGGTCCTTTCACTATTGGCTGCTACTTCCCGGCGGATGTCAGGTGGTGCAATACCGGCTAAGCAGTGTAATTTCTCCAGTGGTGTAGGGCGCAGACCCCCCGTGATAATGTGGCATGTCTCATTAAGAGCCACATCCACTGTTTTAGTGTGGTGAGATGTGTTCCACACTGGGCATGCATACTCAGCAGCAGAGTAGCATAGCGCAAGGGCAGATGTCTTCACTGTGTCTGGTTGTGATCCCCAGGTTGTGCCAGTCAGCTTTCGTATATTGTTTCTAGCACCCACTTTTTGGCTTGATGTTCAGGCAGTGCTTCTTGTAGGTCAGAGCACGGTCCAAAGTGACTCCCAGGTATTTGGGTGTGTTGCAATGCTCCAGTGGGATTCCTTCCCAGGTAATCCTCAGAGCTCGGGATGCTTGTCTGTTCTTAAGGTGAAAGGCGCATGTCTGTGTTTTAGATGGATTAGGGATCAGTTGGTTTTCCCTGTAATAGGCAGTAAGAGCACCTAGAGCTTCAGAGAGCTTCTGTTCAACCATCTCAAAGCTCCCTGCTTGAGTGGTAATGGCACGATCATCAGCATAGATGAAACTCTCTGTCCCTTCTGGCAGTGGCTGGTCATTTGTGTAGATGTTGAACATGGATGGAGCAAGCACGCTCCCCTGAGGCAGGCCGTTCTTCTGTTCCCGCCATCTGCTTCTCTGGCCCTGGAACTCAACAAAGAAGCTCCTGTTTTGTAGCAGGTTTCCTATGAGGCGGGTGAGACGGTCGTCCTTTGTGATATTATACATTTTTCTCAGGAGGAGGCGGTGGTTCACAGTATCATAGGCTGCTGACAAGTCTATCAAGACAGCTCCTGTGATCATCTGCCTTTCAAAGCCATCTTCTATGTGCTGAGTCAGGTTCAGCACTTGCGATGTGCAGCTTTTGCCTTTCCTGAGCCAGCTTGCTGTGGGATCAGACAGGGGTCTATTTTTCCATAATTCTATGCAAAATAAGTCTCTCCAGAACTTTGTAGAGGTGGCACAACAGGGAGATTGGTCTGTAGCTTTTTGGATCATTACGGTCTTTGCCTGGCTTCAAGATGGCGATGACTTTTGCTTTCCTCCAGATTTTGGGGATCTGACAGGATGCAGTGCAGTTGTTCATCAGCTCCAGCAGCCAGCGCCTTGCTTTTGGACCAAAGTTCTTGATTTGTTCCATCCGTAGATCATCCAAGCCAGCTGCTTTGCCATTCTTACATTTGTTGAGAGCCATGTCCAATTCAGTAGATGTAAAGGGTTCATGAAGCTTGATTTTTTAAGTAATCTGTATAATTCTGTACAAAGAAAAATTTAACCAACACCAATTTCCTGCTTTTATGTTTATTAATGTTATTGTGATTGTTTGTGGATATGCAAAGGAAAAACTCATTCACTGACTAGAAGCATTATTTATTTCATATTTCCAACAGCCCCTTTTAGTTCTTCCAAATCAGCAGACAACGTTGTCAAGTTTGACGTTTATGGAGATGGAATCGGGCGTTACAATGTCTTCAATTTCCAACACAATGGAGGGAAATTCTCCTACTTGAAAGTCGGGCAGTGGGCGGAAACCTTGACACTCGATGTAGACACCATCCAGTGGTCCCGAGGCCTTATCCCCACTGCCCAGTGCAGCGATCCTTGCGCACCCAATGAGATGAAGAACATGCAACCAGGTGATGTCTGCTGTTGGATTTGCATTCCCTGTGAATCGTATGAGTACCTGGCTGATGAGTTCACCTGTAAAGACTGTGGACCTGGGCGATGGCCCACCACTGATCTGTCCAGCTGTTATGACCTACCAGAAGACTACATCAAATGGGAAGACGCCTGGGCAATAGGTCCTGTGACCATTGCATGTTTGGGCTTCATTTGTACATTCCTTGTTATGGGGGTATTTGTAAAGCATAACAACACCCCCTTGGTTAAAGCTTCAGGCCGTGAGCTATGCTACATCCTCCTCTTTGGAGTATTCCTCTCTTACAGCATGACTTTCTTTTTTATTGCCAAGCCTTCACCCATCATCTGCACCTTGCGCCGTCTAGGCTTAGGCACTTCCTTTGCCATTTGCTATGCTGCCCTCCTGACGAAAACAAACTGCATTGCCAGAATATTTGATGGGGTGAAAAATGGGGCTCAGAGGCCTAAATTCATCAGCCCGCGCTCTCAGGTTCTCATCTGCCTGAGCCTCATCATGGTGCAGATTGTGATGGTGTCTGTGTGGCTCATTTTGGAGGCTCCAGGCACTCGCCGGTACACCCTCCCAGAGAAACGACAGACTGTCATACTGAAGTGCAATGTCAAGGATTCCAGTATGTTGATCTCTTTAACATACGATGTCATCCTTGTTGTCTTATGCACTGTGTATGCCTTCAAAACGAGGAAGTGCCCAGAAAACTTCAACGAAGCTAAGTTTATTGGCTTCACAATGTACACAACATGCATTATTTGGCTGGCTTTTCTGCCAATCTTTTACGTGACATCGAGCGACTACAGGGTAAGTCCTCCATCACCATTTTCAGCAAAAAAAATTAAATAACTTTCAGAATTTTTTTAAAAAATGAAAAAGGCCTTTTTCTACCAATGTAACTCACTTTAAAAGGCACATCAAATTAATGCAAAGTATAATATATAATAAAGTATAAGTCGGGGTGGAAGGAGACCAAAACATTTGTTGTTGTTCATTCGTTCAGTCATCTCTGACTCTTCGTGACCTCATGGACCAGCTCACGCCAGAGCTCCCTGTCGGGCGTCACCACCCCCAGCTCCTTCAAGGTCAGTCCAGTCACTTCAAGGATGCCATCCACCCATCTTGCCCTTGGTCGGCCCCTCTTCCTTTTACCTTCCACTTTCCCCAGCATAACTGTATTCTCTAGGCTTTCCTGTCTTATTTATGGTCAATACTGGAATAAGGACTCAGCGAGAAGGCAGTGAAAAGAGGCAAAGGTGAGAAACTCCCCTTCCATTACTCCACCTCCCCAAACAGGAGAAAGTAGGGTAACTCTGTCTTCCTCCGTCCTTTGACACCTTCTTTTTCAGCCCTAGGAGAGATCAGCAGAAACATGGGTGTGCCTAAAGAATGTGATGTCCTTGTCATTTTGGGTACTTAAGATAGAGCAGAATATTGAAAAAAAAAGTAATCAAAAATATTCAAATTTAAAACATAAAACGAGAGAGATTAATAACTTTGGTTAGAAGGGGGAGCTATAGAAAAACGTTGTATTCCTTTTTTATATATACAATTTGGAACACCACCAAGAAGATGAATGGAAGTCGCAATATGTGTTTGTCGTAGTTATGTTTGGTTTGGTGTGAGATATTCAGATAGATAGATAGATAGATAGATAGATAGATAGATAGTAGGGCTGGGCGGTTTCGTTTCGTTAATTCGTAATTCGTTAAAAATTCGTTATTTTTTTTATAACGAAGCGATAACGAACCATTCTGGAGCAACTTAAAAACGAAACGAATTTTTAAATTCGTTTCGTAAATGCTTCGGATTCGTTATGTATTCGTTTCGTTATCGGTTTGAGGTCGTTTCGTTATTATTTCCGCATGTCTGGGGCAAGTTTTATAGTTGTTTTTTGTTTAATTAGTGAAAAAAATATATAATATCACACCAACAGTCAACAACAAAGGGAGAGGGAAGCTTCAGAAGTTCCCCCTGTCCCATTTGGAGGTTTTTTAGCGTATTGCGCGGTCGCGTCCGCCATTAACAAATCGATTCGTTATTGTTTCAAAATTGTTTCGTTAATGTTTCATAATTTTTTTAACATTTACGAAATTTCGTAAATATCGAACTTTTTAAAAGAAAAATTTCGGAATTCTTTTAAATATCGAAACGCAAAACCCCCAAAAAAACGAATCGATTTTAGAAACAAATTTTTCCGTTGTTACCCAGGCCTAATACAATATACAATAATAATATAGATATAGATATAGATATAGATATAGATATAGATATAGATATAGATATAGATATAGATATAGATATATACAAACGAGGGGTATTTTTTAAGTAAGGTCCGTTTTGTTGTAGACACTAGTAGTTCACGCGCATACCGCAACGAGCGCATGCGTCGTGTACCGGCTCCTCTTTTTTGTAGCTTATGGAAAGGGGTGGGGAAGGGGGTTGCTTGAATGTCTCCACTGATTCTGCAGCAGTTTTCTCCATTCAGGTTCAGACCACAACCATGTGTATCTCCGTAAGTCTAAGCGGCTTTGTTGTCTTGGGATGTCTGTTTGCTCCCAAAGTGCATATAGTCCTCTTCCAGCCACAGAAGAATGTGGTCACGCACAGACTGCATCTCAACAGATTCAGTGTCAGTGGGACAGGAACCACATATTCTCAAGGTAACTAATGAATAAAAAGCATGTTTTTCTCTTTCCCCTAAGAAGGTCAGTGCTGTTCTCCTCATTCCTCCATTGACCTTTTCTCCACTACGATTCCATGGGATATGCATGCTCCAGAGCCCAGAGGGCAACATCACCTTATTTTTGCCATGTTTGCAGCTCTGAATCATAGAATCATAGAATCAAAGAGTTGGAAGAGACCTCATGGGCCATCCAGTCCAACCATGGCCATACAGCCTGAAAAAACCTACAACAATTCAGAGATTGGTGTGCCAATATGCCATGTCCTGGAAACACTTCACTTGCTGAATTTCTACCTGCCCTGAAGCTGTTAGCAGCCCCAGAAATATCAGATTATTCTTTCAGTGGGAAGGTATATAGACTGTATGTGAGCAAAGAAGGATGTTTCCTCTTTTGTTTTCTTTAATTTTCAAATATGACAAATGCAATGCAACTTAACAAAAAAAAGTCTTCTTAATCATATCTAATGCTCGAAATCAAAGCCAGCGTGATCCAGCAATTAAAGTACAAGATGTATAAGCCTTCGACAATACATACAAGATGTATAATGATTGGTTGGACTTCAAATCTGTTTCTCCAAGGACAAAGAGAGTGCCTTCGGGCAAGCTTCAGTCTCCATTTCTATCTGTGAAAGTTGAAGTTGCAAACATTTAATTAAGAGACTCCAATTCAAGTGTTAATTGACTGAACCTGAAGTCCTAGTTATACAAGAGCCTACCAGACCAAAGCTTGAATGGAACTAGTTACAGTTCACAGACAACTAGTTTCTTGAGATTAATTATTGCCCCCACTAACAAAGATATCACTGTATTGTCGAAGGCTTTCATGGCTGGAATCACTCAGTTCTTGTGGGGTTTTTTCGGGCTATATGGCCATGTTCTAGAGGCATTTCTCCTGACGTTTCGCCTGCATCTATGGCAAGCATCCTCAGAGGTGAGGTCTGCTGGAACTGGGAAAAAGGGGTTTATATATCTGTGGAATGACCAGGTGAGACAAAGGGCTTTTGTAAGTTGGGCTAGGTGTGAATCTTTCAACTGACCACCTTGATTAGCATACAATGGGCTGACTGTGCCTGGAGCAAACTCTTCTTGAAAGGTGATTAGATGTCCCTGCCTGTTTTTCTCTCTGCTGTTTTTGCTGTTGCAAGTTTTAGAATTTTTTAATACTGGTAGCCAGATTTTGTTCATTTTCATGGTTTCTTCCTTTGTTTCACCCTGGTCATTCCACAGATGTATAAACCCCTTTTTTCCCAGTCCCAGCAGACCTCACCGCTGAGGATGCTTGCCATAGATGCAGGCGAAACGTCAGGAGAAATGCCTCTAGAACATGGCCATATAGCCCGAAAAAACCCACAAGAACTGAAAAAATATTGTGTTTTCTGATGGAATTCTGGGTTGTTGTAGGTTTTTCCAGGCTATATGGCCATGTTCTGGAGGCAATTTTTCTCCTGACGTTTCGCCTGCATCTATGGCAAGCATCCTCAGAGGTAGTGAGGTCTGTTGGAAGTAGGAAAAATAGGTTTATATATCTGTGGAATGACCAGGGTGGGACAAAGGACTCTTGTCTGCTGGAGCTAGGTGTGAATGTTTCAACTGACCACCTTGATTAGCATTTGATAGCCTGGCAGTGCCTGGAGCAATCTTTTGTTGAGAGGTGATTGAATGCCCTTGTTTGTTTCCTCTCTGTTGTGGTGCTTTCTAATTTTAGAGTTTTTTAATACTGGTAGCCAGATTTTGTTCATTTTCATGGTTTCCTCCTTTCTGTTGAAAGCTTCATCAGGTGCTCTGCTATGGCTGACTTCTCTGGTTGAAGTAGTCTGCAGTGCCATTCATGTTCCTTGATTCGCGTTTGTTGCATAGGGACTACCAAACGCAGCGCCAAACACGAATCAAGGAACATGAAAGGCACTGCAGACTACTTCAACCAAGAGAAGTCAGCCATAGCAGAGCACCTGATGAACCAACCTGGACACAACATATTATTTGAGAGCACAGAAATTTATTTTATTTATTTATTTATTTCTGTTACTTATACCCCGCCCTTCTCACCCCCGAGGGGGGACTCAGGGCGGCTTACAAAAAGAAGGCAGAATTCGATGCCCATATCAAATACATACATATAAAAACAATTAAAATAATTAAACAATTAACAGATTAAAACATCAATATATAACACAAAAGCACAATAGTAACAGTCTCATAGTCAGTGTTTCGAGTTCCATAGGTCCATTACGTTTCATCATTATTTGCCCATCATTCTTTCTAGCCGCCAGAGTTTCCAAAAGCCTGGTCCCACATCCAAGTTTTCAGCTTTTTCCTGAATGAGAGAAGGGAAGTCGCTGATCTGATCTCCCCGGGGAGTGAGTTCCACAGGTGGGGGGCCACTACCGAGAAGGCCCTGCTCCTCGTCCCCGCCAGTCTCACTTGTGATAAAGGCGGGGTCGAGAGCAGGGCCTCCCCAGAAGATCTTAGGCTCCGAGGTGGGACGTAGAGGGAGATCCGTTCGGACAGATACACTGGGCCGGAACCGTATAGGGTTTTGTAGGTCAAAACCAGCACTTTGAATTGTGCTCGGAATTGGATCGGCAGCCAGTGGAGCTGGCACAACAGGGGGGTGGTATGCTCCCTGTATGCCGCTCCGGTGAGCAATCTGGCTGCCTCCCGCTGGACTAGTTGGAGTTTCCGAGCAGTCTTCAAAGGCAACCCCACGTAGAGTGCGTTGCAGTAATCCAGTCGGGATGTGACAAGAGCATGGACCACCGTGGCCAGATCCGACTTCCCAAATGCTGGATCACTCCAACAACCACCATGTCAGACTACACAGAGAAGCCATTGAAATCCACAAGCATGTGGACAATTTCAACAGAAAGGAGGAAACCATGAAAATGAAAAAAATCTGGCTACCAGTATTTAAAAAAACTCTAAAATTACAACAGCACCACAACAGAGAGGAAACAAACAAGGACATCCAATCACCTCTCAAAAAAAGTTTTTATTTGCAGTGTTTCCTCTTTCATGGGGACCCTGTAACCCTAAACCAAGCAAATGCAGAGGGATGACTGTGATTTCCCAAGTCAGCCCTATGTAGAGTGCATTCCAGTAATTGAAGCAAAATATCATCAAGCCACGTGTCACCATCACTAGGAAGAGGTGCAGTTGGCATACTAGTTTTACCTATGTAAATGTATTCCTGCCCAACACCAAAACCAGGGTTCAGGTTTGAGACCAATTACATACCCAGGAGTCTTAGCAGTTTTTAAAATGGTTTAAACCTCTGTCCTAGCTGGACTAGGCACTTCTAGCTCATCACCCAATATCCCTTGATGTCAAGGCAAATAAGTAAATGTCTAATTAAGAATGATGTCTTGCTAATGGTGACTTCTTCTCCTTTCAGCTTCAGCAAACGTGTATGTTCCGACTGTCTGCAATGGAAGAGAAGTCGTGGATTCCACCACCTCATCTCTGTAAACATACAGCCAGTTTACACATTCCTAGACTGTTAGGAGGTATTGCACATTTCTGTGCATTCTGGAAAAAAACTTTTTAAAAGGACTAGCTTTTTTTTTTCTAGAACCGATGTACTATATTATTTTTGAGGACTGTACAGTGAAAATAGTGATGTTCTTATTAGGACAGCTTTAGGAGCCCTCTATGATAAACAGTCCTAAGGGATGTGTAAATAACCACAACTGCCAATGACATCATGTTGACTCAGCAGTGAGGGAAGGATCCATTGCCATGTTAGGTGGCTTTCTTACTAATGAAACTTTTTGTAACTCCTTGTTGTAATTTACTTAGATTGCATTTCTATGTTGTATATTATGGTTACATTCAGTGCAACAGATGGTTTTCACAGCAGTATTAATTAACATAAAGATGTCGGTAATAAAATCTGAAAACTTTTCCATCAGGTTTGCCTTATTCCTTTCCTTTTTCTTCTTCCTCAGACTTGAATTCTCTAAAGATGGAGGGCTCAGTCTTCAACACTGCCCATTATTATCCTTTAAATTTGATTCACTTGTGTAGGAATATTTGGCATCTATAGTAGTCAGAGTGCTGTGAGTTTGTGGTAGATAGGAATGATTTCTCGGGGTGTGTCGCGCCTCAGAGTAGATTCACCTTGCTGAAAAACACCAAACTGCACACAGCCAGAAGTCTTTATAGTTTATTAAAAATAAAAGGTAATGTTGCAATCCAGAGCAGAAAACGAGGCCCTAAGATAACTATCCACCACAATCCACAATCCTTTTTTATTGAAGAAAAATGGTTACAGAATAAAGGAAAAATGCAAGTCAAAAGCCACAGCAAAAT